GTGACCCAGCGGGGCGCACAAAACATCTTCCCCCGGTGCTCATACGGGCTTAAAGCCCCAGCCAGAGCTGTTGCCGTGGGCGAGCCTTGCCTGGCTCGGGCAATTAACTCGGTGTCCTGGTGCCTGTGCTTGGCAGGAGCGAGGTAGCCCCAGCTCAGGGATAGCTCTGGCCGCCAGCGGTGCTGTGCTGTGCTGTGCCGGCCGAGCACCGGGGCATCAACTGTGAAGTAATTGCCCTCCTTATTGCAGTCCTATGGCTGGAGGTCAGGCTTTACCGGTCACGGACTTTCTAACGGTGGTCCTGCAGGGTGAGGTGGAGGAGGAGGAGGAGGAGGAGGCAGGAGCTTGTGGTGGGCCCCGGGGCTGTGGCACCGGGAGCGGGCGCGTTTGGGCAGCTGCCCCCAAAACCATCCCACCGACACAGAGCGGAGCGGCCGCGCGGTTTCGCTGCCGACCTTGGCGCCGCTGCGGGGATTAAAGCCCCTCCGGTTGCTGCAACCTCTGTGGGATGGACGTGGCCGAAGCTCAAAGGGCGGCGGGAGAGGGGGGCGCGGGGGACGCGGTGACCCAGGCGGAGCGGGTTTATCGCCGCTGCCTCCAGCTGTAAACACGGGCAGCCGAAATGAATCGCTTCCTCTCCTCGGGTGGCTCCTGCCCTGGCACGGAAAGCATCCCTCCCCCGCCGGCGCTATAATTAACCCCGTTCCCAAATAACAGCATCTCCCAGAAAGGATTTGGGGGGGGGACGGGACACAGGCATCCTCCCTTCGCCCTTAGCAGCAGGTTGGTTGGCCAAAGACCTTCCGTCTTTCCACACCAAAATATAGCCCCTTTTGGCAGATGCACGGGTAGATTCCTTCAAGGATGGCACCCAAATCTCAGCGGGGTGTATCTGGCGCAGGCTGGCCAAACTGACCCGCTTTGCTCAAAAGCAGGGTGTTTTGGGACCTGTCTGCAAGCACGTGGGGCTGCTCGTCCGCGTGCTCCAGAGCTTTCCTGCAGTGGGTGGCCGAGATAAAGGACTCCCGGGGTTTCTTTTCAGCATGTGGGGCTGTTCCTCAGGTGAACCCTCAGGATCCAGGACCCCACTTTATCCCACTGAGTTCCCCCCCCTCCATTGCTCCTCCCGGTGACGGCGCGGGGTGCGGAGCCAGCCCGCTGTACGCACGCCACATGGAGCGCTGCCTGTCTCCTACGGCAGAAAACCTACGCCCCGCTTTCTGACGCGAGGTGAAAAATAATAATAAAGGCAGAAAAAAATAGTTTCTGCTTGTAAACAGGGAGCCGGCTGGGGGCTGCGACGCCCTCTCCGGGCGTTCGCTGTCCTTGGCCCCCGTCCCGCTGCAATAGGAAAAGCAGCAACTGTTTTGGCTCGTCTTCCAGCAGCGCAAGCTCGGTGCCGTGCCGGGGCGGGGGGAGAGCGCGGAAAATTCCTTACCCTTCTCCTAAAATGTAGAGGAAAAATGGAAATGCGCGGAGAAGGCAGCCCGCGTGCCCCCCAGCAAGCGCCGCCAGGGCTTGGGGGATGCTCGCGCCGCCGGGGCTCGTGCTAACGGGGCTGCGGCTCGTTGCCCGCTGTTATAAATATCAGAGGTGACTCGTCTCGAGTTTCCCCCCATGGGCCAAGGTAATTAACGCTCGCGAGCATGTACGCGCCGGGCGGCCGGTGTCAGTCCACGGGCCAGCGCGGATTTACTCCCGACCCGATTTCACCTGGGCGTGCTGGACGCCTGACACAGAGAGCGTTGTCTCGGGCACGTAGTTGGCTCTTTGATTTGTGGGGTCGGCGTGCCCCCGGCCGCTCCGCGGGAGCCTTCGCCCGCTCCTGCCCGCATCCCTCGCCGTCCCCGGCTGGCAATGCCGCCAGCAGGACACAAGTAGCAGAAAAGAGTTAATAAAACCAACGTGTTACTGAAAATTGAAAAGCTGTAAATCTCCCCCCTCACGCCCCTGCCCTTTTTTTTTTTCCTTTTTTTTTTTTTCTTTTCTGCTGGGATGTTGGTAGCGTTTTGATTTAATAGTTGGCCAAACACAAGGGTCTATTTTATTCAGAGTTTACAGGCCTCAGGGCTGTTATTCCTCCAAATTTAATAGCATTGAAATTGCAGGGTTGGCGATAATTTGCCTATCACTTTCTGCTCTCCCATTGATGTTTATTGTCAGCGGGATGGAATCTCAATCCGATTCACTTAGATAACATGTCTGTTAAACATTTAGATAATTGTGCCATCATTAACTTGTCACATTATTTTAGAGATTCAAAACAGTCGTGCGGTATAAGCGGAGGTACAAAGGGAGAATAATCCGGCGCGCGGAAGCCGGAACCCGGGAGAGGAGGCGGTGGGTGGTGGGATGCCCCCGCGGCCGCCCCTCCGCT